CCCCCCCCCCTCTCTCTCTCTCCCGTCAGTCATCGTGGAAATGTCGGGAGAAGAGGGTCTGTCCAACAACTTTCTTTCTCTTTTTGTCCTGCCCAGGCTGTCGATACTTGGAAGCCTTGACAATTTTGCCGAAAAATTTATCTCGCAGGCTGTGTCGGAAATTGGCCCACGATTTTTATCAGCCTAAATTTATCTTGTGAGTTCTGCTGCTGGAATTTATTTTATTTAGCTCGCGGGTGTTACTAAATTGTTTATCTCTCGTCTTGCTGAAATATATTACGTGAGTTTTTGTTTTTTTTAATTCCCGTGTTTTGTTTGAAGTTATATCTCAAGTTTTGCTGGAAGTTATCAACAGTTTTGCTGTGATCGTGGGTGGTTGGCGGGTGCTCTGGTGTGGTTTGCTCAGGTTTCTTTCCTATCGAACATGTATCGTCCTTATCTCTCTTCTTTCTTTTTTTTTTTGGTGTATGTTACTCTCTTGTAACACATCTATTCTTCGGCACTTATATGACCTTATTGTGCTGCAAGTGCCGTAAAACTCTTATTTAAACAAAAATCTTTTCTGTGATCTATCTCTCCAGGTTTCGTGAACTCCTCTTGTGAATTAAGTTCTAGTTACTTTTTTAATCTATTTTAATGAAATGTATTTTGCTGGGTTTGCTTAAATTTACGCGTAAAATGCAAAGTCAAGTTTATGATTAATTGAGAAAATCGGGACTTAGATAGAAAGCCCTCTTAGTGCGCATGTGTTGATTGAGGACACAAGTTTGTTTTGTTTTTGTAAAAAAAAAAATTGTTTTGAAGTATTGGAAGGTAAATTATAACTTCTGATTTCTCTTGCTTTTTGTGAGTGTTTTTGGTTTAATTTTGCTTGTGCATGTGTGTGTGTGTGTGTGTGTGTGTGTGTGTGTGTGTGTGTATGTATGTATGTATGTATGTATGTATGTATGTATGTGTGCGTGTGTGTACGCGCGTGCGCGCACGTGTACGTGTGTGTGTGAGCGCGTGCGTGCGTGTGAAGGTGTGTGTGTGCGTGCGTGCGCGTGCGTGTGCGTGCGCGTGTGCGTATGTGTGTGTGTGTGTGTTTGTGTTTATACCATGCAGCAGCCCATTTCCCTTTTTGGAGATCGATATAGGGATATCGTATTGTATCTTAGCAAGTCCTGAACTTTTAAAGTTAAATTATCGACAGGAATCTTTTTGTTTTGGGACCTTTGCGTAACACATTTTTGCGCAGGGTTGGTCTATGGGTGGTTGGAGGATGGGTGTACTGGGTCCGACTTGTTTATTATTTTCCAATTTCGTTTCTGTCTGGCGTGCTCTTTCTCTTTTTCTAATTGGTCGTTTTTAAGCACAAGGGGGCTATCCCGGAAAATGCTGTTTTGAGAAAAACGAAGGTAACGTTTTTGCCTCCTGTTCAGTTTCTTTAAAAGACAAGGAGAGTTTTCTCTATATAACCAAACAAATATACACACCAATGAAACCAAACTTCTCCTATAGGTAGGGCAGTGCCTACTTTTGGTGTTGGTCAAGATTTCTGGAAACCCCCGGAATCTGGGTCAGCTCGCTTGTCCTTAAAAACGATCAAATGACCGTTATTGCGTTCGTGTGCTCAAACTAATCTTTTAACACAAAAGAAAGGATATTTTACCTGGAAAAACTGAGTTTTTAAAAAGTTGCTTTGATCCTCTGATCGCGAGGTGGAAATATGATGAGAGCGTCTCTGTTAGTCCAGTGTTTTACTTACTGAACCAACAACCCCCCCCCCCCCCCCCCCCCGGGCAGTGCGACTGACTGAAGTTGTCCTTAGGCCATTCCCAAAGGGGGATATTAACACGTTCTTATGCACAGTACAATTGTAATTGGGCTGATTCATCAATGTCAGGCTCATATTGTTTCGGAACGACATAGGTGAAACTGTTCCTATTTTCTTTCCTAATCCTTACTATCGTCATTTGTCCTCTACTTCTGTTGTGTGTTTGTCACTCTCTTGTAACCTGCTATTTCCGGGGTGCCTTGATAGTCGAAGAAGACTTTGTGCTGTTGAGGCTAGAGAGGTGAGCACAGTAAGCCTGATTCCCTGTAAGGACTTCTCTGTTGACATCCACCCTTTGGCGGTCATATGACCTTTGGGCACATGTATATAACCTTATTGTATTGCAAGTGCTGTAAACCACTTACTACCTGTGGGTTGTTGGTGGGTGCTTTGGTGTGGTTTGCTCCTTCTTTCCTATCAAACATCTATCGTCCTGATCTCTCCTCCTCCTTTTTTTGTGTGTTTGTTACTCTATTGTAACACTTCTAATCTTCGGCACTTATATGATCTTATTGTGTTGCAAGTGCCGTAAAACTCTTACTAAAACAGAAAAACTTTTACTACTATTACTAAACTAAACATTGTCCTTCGTGGGTGGTTGGCGGGTGCTCTGGTGTGGTTTGCTTCTTCTTTCCTATCAAGCATCTATCCTCCCCTTTTTCTTTTTTATGTTTATTACTATCTTGTAACACCTCTAATCTTCGGCACTCACATGACCCTATACAGTTGCAAGTGCTGTAAAACTCTTACTTTTAAAAAAATCCCCTCCTTCTATTTTGTGTATGTTACTCTCTTATAACTCCTCTAATCTTCTGGCGCTCATATGACTTAATTGTGTTGCAAGTGCCGTGAAACTCTTACTAAAACAGAAAAAACCTCCTACCACTATTAAACTATAAACATTGTCCTTTCCAGGAATCTACGCGGAGAGCTTCCGGCGGTCCAACTGGGTGCGTGTCAGCCAACACAACAAGCAGGAGCTGGCCATGCCGGTGTCCGCCGTGTCGCGGGGCTCCCAGAGTTCCTCTCCAGCCTCGGCCTCTGCCTTCTCCGGCCTGGGCTCGGCGGGCGAGTCTGTCACTGACAGTGATGGGGTGCTAGAGGACCAGGGGGGCATGAGCCCCAACCTCAAAAGTGAGGGTTGTTTAAAGAGTAGTTTGTTGTTGTTGTTGTGGTATCTGAGGGATGTTCCTTGGTGTTGTTGTTGTTGTTGTTGTTGTTGTGGTATCTGAGGGATGTTCCTTGGTGTTGCTGTTGTTGTTGTTGTTGTTGTGGTATCTGAGGGATGTTCCTTGGTGTTGTTGTTGTTGTTGTTGTTGTTGTGGTATCTGAGGGATGTTCCTTGGTGT